CAAATGCTTTTACATAGTCAATAAAACACAAGTAAACATCTTTCTGGTATTCTTTGCTTTGAGCCAAGATCCATCTGACAGCAGCAATGATATCCCTCATTCCACATCCTCTTCTGAATCTAGCTTGCATTTCTGGAAGTTCTCTGTCAATATACTGCTATAACCCTTTTTTAATTATCTTCAGCAAGATTTTACACACATGTGATATTAGTGATATTGTCAATAATTTCCACATTCTGTGGGATCACCTTCCTTTGGAATGGGTACAAATATGGATCTTTCCAGTCAGTTGGCTAGGTAGCTTTCTTCCAAATTTCTTGGCATAGATGAGTGCCTCCAGTGTGGCATACATTTGTTGAAACATCTCAGTGGGCATTCCATCAATTCCTGGAGGCTTGTTCTTTGCCAAATTCTTCAGTGCAACTTTGACTTCTTCCTTCAGTACCTTTGATTCTTGATCATATGTCATCTGAAATGGATGGACATCAACCAGTTCTTTTTGGTACAATGACTCTGTGTATTCCTTCCATCTTCTTTTGATGTTTCTTGTATCATTTGATATTTTGCCCATAGAATCTTTCAGTATTTCAACTCAAGACTTGAATTTTTCCTTCAGTTCTTTTAGCTTGAGAAATGCTGAGTGTGTTCTTCCATTTTGGTTTTCTCTCCAAGTCTTTGGACATTTCATTATGATGATTGACTTTATCTTCTCGAGCTGCTCTTTGAAATCTTCTCTTCAGCTCTTTTATCTTATCATTTCCTCTATTTGCTTTAGCTACTCTCTGTTCAAGGGCAAGTTACAGTCTCTTCTCACATCTATTTTGGTCTTTTCTTCTTTTCCTGTCTTTTAATGACTTTTGCTTTCTTCATGGATGATGTTCTTGATGTCATCCCACAATTCCGCTGGTTTTCAGTCATTGGTGTTTGGTGCATCAAATCTATTCTTTAGATGGTCTCTAAATTCAGAAAGGATATAATCAAGGTCGTATTTTGGCTCTCGTGGACTTGTTTTAATTGTCTTCAGCTTCAGTTTCAACTCGCATAATGAGCAGTTGATAATCTATTCCACAGTCAGCTCCTGGCCTTGTTTTGGCTAAAGATACTGAGCTCCATTGCCTCTTTCCACAGATGTAGTCAGTCTGATTCCTGTGTACTCCATCTGGCAAAGTCCATGTGTATAGCCACCACTTACGTTGTTGAAGAAAGGTATTTGCAATTAATAAGTTGTTAACTCACTGCCATGGAGTCGGATCCGATTCATAGCAACCCCTCCTTTGGTTTCCGAGGCTATATCACTACAGAA